GGCGCTCCGAGCGCAACGAGTTCCTGCTGCTGCACGCCTTCCACGAGAAGAACTACATTGTGCCAGACAAGAAGCCGCAGCGTGGCCGTGCCGCCGATCCCGATGCCACCTTTGCCAGTGATGCCACGGCGCTGCCGGCACGCAAGAAGGCCGCCTATGCGGGCGGACTGGTGCTGGAGCCGATGCGCGGCCTCTACGAGAAGTTTGTCCTGCTGATGGACTTCAATTCGCTTTACCCGAGCATCATCCAGGAGTACAACATCTGCTTCACCACCGTCCAGCAGCCGGTGGACGCCGACGAGCTGCCCACGCTGCCCGATGCCAAAACGGAGCCCGGCATCCTGCCGCTGCAGCTGAAGCGTCTAGTGGAGTCGCGCCGCGAGGTGAAGAAACTGATGGCTGTGCCGGACCTGTCGCCGGAGCTGCAGATGCAGTACCACATCAGGCAGATGGCGCTCAAGCTGACGGCCAACTCGATGTACGGCTGCCTGGGCTTTGCCCACTCGCGTTTCTTCGCCCAGCACCTGGCCGCTCTGGTGACGCACAAGGGCCGGGAGATACTCACCAACACGCAGCAGATGGTGCAGAAGCTCAACTACGACGTGGTCTACGGCGACACGGACTCGCTGATGATCAACACCAACATCACGGACTACGATCAGGTGTACAAGATCGGGCACAGCATCAAGCAGAGCGTGAACAAGGTGTACAAGCAGCTGGAGCTGGACATCGACGGTGTCTTCTCGTGCCTGCTGCTGCTCAAGAAGAAGAAGTACGCCGCCGTCAAGGTGAGCAAGACCGCGAAGGGAGTCCTCAAGCGCGAGCAGGAGCACAAGGGCCTGGACATTGTGCGTCGCGACTGGTCCCAGCTGGCCGTCATGGTGGGCAAGGCCGTGCTCGACGAAATCCTTGCCGAGAAGCAGCTGGAGGAGAAGCTGGATGCAGTCCACTCCCAGCTTGAGCGCATCCGCGATCAGTTGGCCCAGTCGGCTGTGCCACTGCCGCTGTTCGTGATCACCAAGCAGCTGACGCGAGCGCCGCAGGAGTACGTGAACAGCGGCTCCCTGCCCCACGTGCAGGTGGCACTGCGCATGAATCGAGAGCGCAATCGGCGCTACAAGAAGGGCGACATGGTGGACTATGTGATCTGCGTGGATGGCAGCACCAATGCGGCCATGCAGCGCGCCTATCACCTGGACGAGCTGAAGGGCAGCGAGACGCTGAAGCTGGACACGGGCTACTACTTGGGCCATCAGATTCATCCGGTGGTCACGCGCATGGTGGAGGTGCTGGAGGGCACCGATGCCAGCCGCATAGCCGAGTGCCTGGGCATGGATCCCACCAAGTACAGACAGAATGCACAGCGGTAAGTCGTCTGTCCACAGCAAGGGGAAAGCAATTCCTAAATTGTTTGATTTTTGCAGCGCCCAGCGGGAGATCAACGAGCAGGCCGAGGGCGAGTCGCTGCTGAAGACCACTCTGCAGCTGTATCGACTGTGCGAACCCTTCCGCTTCAATTGTGTGACCTGCAAGAGCGAGCAGCTGATGGCCAGCGCCTACCGGCCGGGCAACAACCAATCGCATGTGCCCGTGCTGGGGCAGTGCGCAAAGGCCGAGTGCCAGACCGCGCCGCTGCAGTATCTGGTGAGCATACGGAACCAGCTGCAGCTGGCCATTCGTCGCTATGTCCAGAGATTCTACAGGAACTGGCTGGTGTGCGACCATCCGGACTGCAACTACAACACGCGGACACTCACGCTGAAGAAGAACATGCGCCGGCCGCTGTGCTACAAGTGCAAGAGCGGCAGCATGCTGCGCCAGTACACGGAGCGGGATCTCTACAATCAGCTCTGCTACCTGCGCTTCATCTTTGACCTCAACAAGCAGCAGCTGCAACAGAAACGTAAGCTCTGCCATCACCAACGATTGTCTCCAAATCTAACCGCCGCTCCCTTTTAGCTGCCTTAACGCCCGAGCTGGAGCAGGGCTATCAGCTGCTCTACGAGACTGTGGATCAGCACTTGCAGAGCTCCGCGTATGTGGTCATATCGCTGCGGAAGCTCTTTGGCCGCACCCTGACACTGCTGGCACTGCAACCGCCACGGCCGCGACCCCACAACGAACTGATCGCCAGCACTTTGGCAGATGTTTAAGCATTTAATTAACTAACCGCTTTGCTCTAAGGATTTCCATTAAATATTACAAGAATTTGTGTAGAAGAAGGATCATCTGGTTGCTGGCCCCAGGAAACTCTCGAGCGGAAAGTAGCGAAAGGATTCGTTGAAGATGTCCGTGAAGGCGGTGCTCACCAGCTCATTGATCATGGGCTTGACAAAGGGCAGACCCAGCTGCCACATGCTGTTGATGACGCCATCGGCCAGCGAGTTGAGCGACTGCCCCAGGAGGTTGCCAATGTGCAGCTCCATGCCGCCAATGCGATCGACTTCCACATGCACTTTGAGCAGAGATCCTGGACCGCCCACGCGTAATACGCTGGTCGTTTGACTGCCAAAGAATTGTCAAGTTAGCTTATCCCCTGAGCATTCGCATTGGCATGGATATTATCTCACCTGTAGTCGTAGAGTGTTAGGTTCCAGGGGCCGCGACGCTTGATCTCGGTGCCCAGCATCTTGCCGGAGAACTCGTACTGACCCTCGAGGGTTTTGTCGGGGAAGTATTGCGCATAGACAATGCGCTGATCTTCGGCATCCGCATGGAACTTGGTCACCTCGGACTTGGACCAACCGTACTCGGAAACGTTGCGCAAGACGAGACGAAAGCTGCCAATGCCGTGCGCTCCGTCGCCGCGTCGCAGCTCCACATAGTCAGAATGATGGGGATCAAAGGGTTTTATGTGATAGTCGGGTATGCCTGCAAGTCACACAGGTAGTACATGGATAGGTTACTCGTTACTCGGTGCTTGCCCAACTGTTTGTTGTCGTTGCCGAATCTTTCTGTGGCACTCACCTGTTGTGAAGTACGCTCGCAGATCGTTGAAAACCTGCTTCATGCAGTCATTGTATTCGTCACTCTGGCTGTGGCAGCGTCCCAGCAAGTGCCGCAGATCAGACTCCACATCTATTTGGTTCGAGGCATGCACCAGCGCCACATTCACCAGCTGGACCACAATAAACGCAGCCAAAAGGCGGCTAACACAGCTGTTACAGTTTGAGGTGCAGTGTTGCGACATGACTACAGTTTTAGTGGCTGCTGCTGTTAATGGGAAAAACAAACCCAATGTTAAATCTCTTATTGTTTATAGTTGTCATTTGTGGATTGTTACTGTTATTGCTGCTGTTTTGGTCAATGTCGAAGATGTTTAATTTGCTGATTGTGAAGAGCCAAAGGTAATTATGGTTCAAATTGCCCTTGAATATGGCTGTTTTAAAGTTTTATGGGAATTTTCCTGAACAGCCACTGCTGTTACTTGTTGTTGCTAGTTTTGAAAGCATGTATTGAGCAACAGTTTGGAATGTACTTGTCAGCTCTTATCAGCTGAAGGCTTTGTGTAGAGTTTTGTTCAGCGAATGTTAACAGTTTTGTGTGCATTTTTTGAAGGTATTTTCTGTCGTTTTTTCTAATCTATCTTTTATTTAAATGCATAATTGGACACAGTTTTTCTTTGGGAATTTCTTCTAATTCTGAATTAAAACATTTACAATTCGGACAATCCAAAGACCCATTTCACAGCATCTCTAATACATTCCACATCCCACGTGCAGCTGCAATAGTTTTTAGTGTGTCTTATTTTCGTTGAGGGTTTTGTAATGTGTTTTGTTGTTGTTTGTTTGCTTTTGTGTGCGGCCTGCACTTGACCTCTTTTATTTTAAACGACTTATTGCTTGTCGCAGCAGCGGAGAGAAGAAAAAACCCTAGTAATAATGAGCGATGAGCAAACAATTGTAAACCAAAGACTTCAACAAGAGACAAACTGAGGGGGGGGAAGTCTCTCTTTTGCTACTCCCGGCTTAGGCCCACCCCCCACACACACACACAACATTCAGTCATGCAACACGAGAGTGGCAGCCAAATGATAAAGATTTGGCAATTGTTCAGTTTTAGGCGCTGCAGTTGCAATAGCACTTGACCAGCGGTCAGTCATCCAATCCAAACGAGTTGCTTAACCCATTTATAACTCTCTTTGGGTAAATATTTGCACAATTACTCTATTTACTTTAATCAATGTTTGCTGTAGCTTTGAGGCAGGAATATTCTGGCAGAATCAACTTCTTTCTCACGAATATTCCAAAAATTGTGCAGTTTAATGAACCGAATTCGCGACGTGTAATTCATTCGAGATTCCGTGGCCAACTGAAGCTACAAACCGAACCCGAACCCGAAACCAAGCCAAAGCCCGCCACAGAAAGCTTACAGCAAAAAAAAAAAAAACCAGACACTGAAAAGACAGACAGGAAAAATGTTTGAAAGCCGAAAGCAAACTTGAGCTTTGTCAACTTGAGTTTAACGTTTGGAATTTACGTTTCCTTATTATTGTGTCCACCCCACCCACAAATAAGAGCTGGAAGAAAACTTGTCAAAAAATTGTCGTAAATCATTGGCCAAAGCAAAAAGAAACACTTAGGAACAGGAATAAATGGAGAGAAGAGTGTGTCGACGGCAAGTTACCGCGGGGTAAACACAGGCAGTTGTCCTCGTGGCCTTCTTTTACATTTAAGTAAAACAAAGAAGATTGATGTGCCCACAAACGACTCAAATATACCCTGTACTACTGCTACCCTTCAGCTACACAACTGAGCCACAAAGTGAGCTGAATTTAATTAGGCAAGCCCCAAAGTCCGGCTATGGTTATTTGATGTTTGGCACACTCAAAGGCAACGCAAATCATGTACCCAGAGCCAGCGCTCAAGTTCATGGCGCAGATTGAATAATTTAAATTTCATGACTTAATTTTCGTGCGTGCTGTCGGCGGTTGCCTGGCTGGAAGTGCATCAATTGAGAGACTGGCAAAATCTGCTGCCAATAAGTGAAAGATTTGTTTATAAATGGATGGGCAAGGTTGCAGCTTCTTGGGTTTAATGAAGGGCTACAGCAGAGCTGAAGGAAGTGTAAAGGTGTTTATTTTGCACTCAGGAACTTCGAGAGGGGAAAGTAGCGAAAGGATTCGTTGAAGATGTCCGTAAAGGCGGTGCTCACCAGCTCATTGAGCATGGGCTTGAGAAAGGGCAGACCCAGCTGCCAGAGGCCATTGACGATGGTGTCGGCCAATGGGTTTATGGACGGCCCAAGTAGATTTCCAGCATGAATTTCCAGGCCTCCAATGTGATCGATTTCCACATGAACCTTGAGGAGAGAGCCTGGGCCGCCAACGCGTACAATGTCGGTGGTTTGACTGGGCAAAAGATTGCAAATTTTCAAGCTGGAAAATAACTCAAGCAATCCTCACCTGTAATCGCGCAGCGTGAGGTTCCAGGAGCCTTGACGCTGGATCTGTGTGCCCAGCACCGAGGCGGTGAACGAGTACTGACCCTCCAGGGTCTTTTCAGGAAAGTGTTGCGAAAAGGTAATGCGCTGCTCGTCCAAATGGGACTGGAATCTGGTCACCTTAGAGTTCGACCATCCGCGGTCGAAGACATTGCGCAAAACGAGGTAAAAGTTGCCGATCCCTTGGACCGCGAACCCGCGCCGCAGTTCCACATAGTCCGAATGATGGGGCTCAAAGGGCTTCACATGATAGGCGGGTATGCCTGCGGTTAACAGAGACACACACGGAGGTTACAGAGTTAACAGTTACGGTCAAGCAGTTAACTGCTTGGCTCACTCACCTGTTTTGTAGTACATCTTCAAATCGTTTAAGGCCTGCAGAATGCACTTGTCGAAGTCGCTGCTCTGCATGTGGCAGGGTCCCAGCAAACGCTGCAGATCCGCGTCCGTATTGTTTTCATTCACGGCATGCACCAGACTTCCGCAAAGAACCACAAGTATCACTGCTAACAGGCCGCAGCAGCTGTTACAGTTTGAGAAGCTGCGCTGCGACATGACAACAGTTTGACGGTTTGCTGTTGAAGGGGAAAAACATTATTTACAGTCACTCTTTTGATGTGCAATCATTAATTTTTACTTTCTTTATTTACACCAAATATGCGACGAAATTCTGGGTCGAGCACAGAACGAACACTCAACTCCTTAAGTATGCAAGAAGCGCACGAATATTCAAATAATGTTTTTGTTTATTGATTTTACAGTTCAGTGAGCCAATTCCAGGTCGTGTGAATCATTCGAATGGCACTGGCCAACTGTCATAAACGTTTCGTCGTTCAGATCGAATCAGTTGGATTTGTAATGGAATGGGGATAACCAATCCATTACAGCCTCTAAATCTGAAAATGTCAAACAAACTCCCTTACCTAACAGTCTGTGGCCATAGCCTTTAATTGGACAAGCTCCAATGTTATTCGATATATCAAGTCATGTAATGTACCCCCAAAGCCAACGCTCAAGTTCATGGTTTTGAATTCAATTTCATGACTTCATTTTGAAACGTGCGTGGCATCCACAACGAAACGGGAGTAGAGAGAGAGGGAGAGAAGAGACTATGTAAAATGTAAGATACGATTATGAGGAGTGCTTTTGGCCAAATGGATCTGCAAGGTTACAGCTTTATGGCTGATTGCAATTTACTGCAATCCCATTTCGAAAGCAGGCGCCACTGTTCTTCTTCTTCCTGTTCATATATACATATTTTTTTCGTTTTGTTTTCAGAAGTACCCACAATCAAGAGCAACAGGTGGCATCTATCGATAGTAAGAGGTCCCATCGATAGTGCGAGCATGTGCGCTGTATCGATATTACTGTCGCTGCTTGTGCAGCTCTAATACCATTAGTCACTTGTTATTGTTTTTTAGCCGCTAATGTTAAATTAAGATAAATATGGAAGTAGAATTCAGCAAAGAGAACTTCCTGCTGCCAGAGACAAAGTATGAATGTGAGTACATGCCCCCAAATTGGTGCCAGAACCGCCTGTTGCTTCGTATTTTTTCATTGTTTTGATTTATTTGCAGACCTGGACCACACGGCCGACGTGCAGTGAGTACTGGCAACAACAAAAACACATTATCCATACTATAATTAACCACATGGTTACACATTTTGCAGACTCCATGCCTGGGGCACTACGCTGACGGAGGCCTTCGAGCAGTGCGGCGTGTCCATGTTCGGATACATGACGGAGCTGGAGTACGTGTCCGTGGAGAGCTGCTATGAGATCGAGGCCAAGGGCGATGATCTGGAGGGACTATTGTTTCACTTTCTCGACGAGCTGCTATTCCTGTTCTCCTGTGAGCCGAATCTGGTGTGCAAGAAACTGGAAATCACCAAATTCGATCTGGAGACCTTCGAGATTGTCTGCCGCTGCTACGGCGAACCATTCGAGCTGGGCAAACATCCTCAGGGCACCGAGGTGAAGGCAATAACCTACTCGGCCATGCAAATCGTACAGGACGCGGACAACAGCAACTTCGAAGTGTTTGTTATAATTGATATTTGAGCAAAGCTGTCGCCAGTGCAAGCGGATCCCCCCGGATATCCAGTGACTTTTTCGTTTAGGTATTAAAAGAATTTTGACATCCTGACTGCCGTTTCCACCCTTTTTTTACCTCTTGTGCTTTTCAGCTGGTATGTCGATTGCATTTACTCCCTCCTTGTCTCCATTAATCATAAGTGAAATGCCAAAAACAAAAAAACTCACAAAAAGCTGCACAAGCCCCGAAATATCTGCACTCTGGCGACCGGCGACTGCATCCATCCCCTGTCTGCGGTGAGAGGTGAGGTTTGGCGACGTGTGAGAGAGGAGTGGATGATGACTTATCAAAAAACCATTCAATTGTGCGGCGGCTGCTGCTGCTGCTGATGCTTGCAAATGCAATTAAGACTTTTGGTCCTTTGTGAGTCCAGCGTCTGGGGGGTTTCTGGATTTACTTTACCCTTTTTTTTTTGGTTGGCGCAATTTTTTAGGCTTTGTGAATTTACAACGTGTTGTATTCCCAGACAAGGCAGCCCAATTCCCAGGGCACAGTTCAATGCACTTTTCTAGATGCAGCCTTCGGTTTAGATTCGCTGCAAAAGAGTCCTCAAACTTAATAATCGTATATTTTGCTCAAAATGAAATGAATATCCCCAGAGCTCATTTTACAAATTACATTTGAATTAAAATTTTTGTTTTATACCATTTCGCGGCAAACATGCATCCGAAATTCAGATCTTGGCGGTCAACTATCAACACAATAGTATCATATCGCATGCGATACAAATTCACACGCTATGCCATCTCTAGATGTACGTGAATGCCGAGCGAACAGCTGACTCGCAACAACAACAACAACGATAAACAACAAAAATGCTTGCCGGGCCGTTATGCGTGTGCATTAGTGTTTGCTGAAGAGAGAGAGAGATTTCCTTGAAATATCTGTCGTTTGCGTGGGATCCAAGGTGAAATTTGCGATTGATTGATTGAAAAAATCAACACTGCGATACACGAAGGCGTGTGTAAAAGAACAAACAAAGTATGAAAGGAAAGGCAAGTCGAGCAATAAAACGCACACCACTCAAACACACACAACAACACACCACCACAGCAGCAGCAAGTTGTTCATTTCGCTCATGAAGCGCGTCGAAATCAAAGTCGCGAGTGTGTCAAGCTGAAAAATATCTAACAGTGCTACAAACTACAAACAAGCTGCAATACAAGTAAAGACTAATAGTAAGTGCGGATTGCAGAGGAAGTAACTATATCATATAAAAGAAAAGAGCTCGTGGAAGGTGGAAAGGAAAGCAACAAAAACGTCATCACCGCTGCGCGCCGCATTTCGCCTTTGCTGGTGCTGCTGCTGTAGTTGCTGTTGTTGGTTTGCTGTTGCTTTTTCAATTCGCCGCTCTGCTCACCTCGCCTCGTCGTCGTCGTCGTCTCTCGCTCGCTCTCTCTTTCTGCCCGCAAGTCTGTAGGCTGCTGTCGTCGTCGCCACCAAATTGTCATGGTGTTCGAAGAGGAAGAAGCACAGAGCACATTGACTGGGTGATAAATTTCGAGTGGCTCTTTAGCTAGGAAATCTTTGAATAAACCGCATCGAAACCAGCTCAACCGAAAGGTAATTTTATTATCTACAATTTGCTATCAAAAGCACCTCGCTGCCTCATCTGGAAGTGTGTGAAAAACGTGGCGGAAAAATCCATACAAGACGAAATGGAAAAAATGTGGTAGGTAGTATTCTAGATGTTAGAGGTGTGCGTGTGTGTGCGTGTGTGTGTGTGTGTTGGGGGGTGCTCCGCTGGGCATTCTCTATGCAGGAGCAGCAGGGCAGGGCAAACCAACTGTTTTTTCCCTCAGCCATCAGCGCTCCTGCTGTGTGGGTGGTTTGCCGCTGCCGCCTGCCGGCTACTACCAGCTGACGGGCCAGCTGCCCGCTCGTGCCGTATGGGTCGGCGGTCGGTGGTCGGTCGCTAGGTGTGTGTGTGTGCACGTGGGGGAGTGTGTGCACTTTTATATAATTTTTTTAAGTGCAACCCCTCAAAGTGTTCTTTGGCTGGGGGTAGCCGCTTCAATTCGCAAGATTTCAGAAGCTGACGTCATTGGCAATTTCAATTTGATTTATCTCCAACATAAAGTCAAGCCTTATATACTACAAGTGTTTGTTTGTGTGTGTGCGAGTGTATGTGTAATATATGTTTAATTGCATTGTTGAAACAATCTGGGAAAGCGGGAGGCCCCTGGGGAATTTAAAATCTCAGATTAGTTGTTAATTTCCAAGTATTTAAAGCGTTGCCAGACTGCTCCTAAGGGATGCTGCTAAGGCAACCTGTGATATTTTGCACGTGATTGAGCTCGTACCATGTGGCAAGCAGTTTTTAAGAAGCGGCACACATGCAGTTGCCAAGCAGTAGAGTGGGCTCAGGCATGCGAATAAAATACCGCTTTTGAATTTCTTTGACTGGAATTTAAGCTCTTTTGGAACTGCAATAGTTGATTACGATAAGCCCACAGTAAAATCGAAAATCATCTTAACCTCAGAAGCAGTATCCAGGAAATATATTTCATAAATAGATCCAGTCATATGCATTTCATATACAACTTTTCGGTTGCATGTTTGTTGCCAAAACTGTGATCCCCAACTCGAAAACGAGCGCATGACTGGCTGCATGTGGGGCCTTATCAGTGTACCAATTAACCCAGATATGGGAACACGGAACTCGTTTCAAAATGATAACGGCTTCAGGATTTATAGAAGAACCGACTAGCAGGAGCTGGAAATGCAATCCTCGACTTGGGAGTCTGATTTTGGCGACGTCATAGTTTGATGACCCCTTCCCGCCACAACCACATCCAAACCGAATTATGCATGTGTATACTGAAGCTACCAAACGTCGGCGGCGGGGCACAATGGCGGCCATCGAAGAAGACGGCGACGACGCTGTCTCCATGGGCGTTTTATTTTTCTCTCTCCATGATATTTCTCGAGTCTGCATTTTTTGTTTTTGTATTTGGTTACTTTGATTTTGCTTGGCCTTCGGGGCAAGAGTCTCTTGGCCATCGTCATCGCCGTCGTCGTAGTCGTGGTCGGGTCTTTTGTGAACCAGTTCCCCTAAGCGCCTCTTTTTACCTGTTCCCCATGTTTGGGGTATACACATGATTTTTTTAATCCTATATTCAATTACGGAAGCAGTGATTTGGTTATTTATTTTGTTTTCTCTTTGACAACTACTCATAAATTTGTCGCTGGCCAGTGTTTGGATTTTCATTCATCCGATCGGAGGCCAACGAATTCCAAGTGGAATAGTGATTTGTTCCCGCCCAGTCACAGTCTCGTAACTGCAATTGTGACTTAAAATATGAATTGTGTCTGTCTAGTGGGTCTATGTTTGCTTTTATCTGCTGTTGCGATAAGGCACGGGAACCTTTGAGACAAGATTTATTAAATTGAGGTCACTCTTACTTGAGTTCTAACCATAAAATTGGTCTAATTATTGTTAATGGTGTAGAAAATGAATGCTTATGTGAGCCCAGAAATTGTTAGACCTGTGATTTAGTTTGGTTAGTAATACCTACCCAAAAACGCTGCAACCTATGGGCTTAGCTTAACTTACTTATTGTACGAAGGCAAATTGATAAGCGGAAAAGTAAATTTATATAAATAAATCCAAAGGCGAGCCCTCAATTCGGGTAGTCTGGCAACACCCTCCAAGACGAACATGACGATCCCTTCCATCGAGACGCTTACCCAATCTCAGATATAAACATCAAATACAATTTGGTGCACTTGCTCCAGGCAATATACAATACGCACACATTTGGTTTTGGACAGGCTAAGACTTTTGATAATATATTAAATACTTGAATTTCATTTATTATTGTAGCCGCCTGGCCACTTTGGGTCATCGTTTTGGGGCTCCGATCGCATCCGATCGTGTCGTGTTTGTTTTTATCATATGCCGAGTGTGCTGTGCTCTGCTGTGTGTGTGTGTATTAATATTGTTGTTGCACTTTTATAACATACCACGAGAGGGGGCCACCACCACATGAGAAGGCATGTCATGTCTTCCTCCACACTTCTACACACAATATATACGAATACTCACATCTGTATGTATTTGTGTATAAAATACTTGAGCGAAACGAGTTAAAAGCGATTTCATTAATATGTTTGTTGTTGTTGGTGTTGCTGCTGATGTTTTGTTAGTGTTGCGCCTCCCGTCCGTCCGTTTCTGTCGCTGTGTCTTTTGTTGTTCCCGTCGCCTCGCACGGTTTTGCTTTGCTCTGACCTTGCCTTTTGGTTACATACCCTTTTTTGCTGTAATTAGAGTGGGAATTGTTGGGGCAATGTACAATCCATTTATGTATTAGGGCTGAGGGAATTGGGTTCAGCAAGGATCAGGGTAATTCTTAGGGAAATTTTTGTATTAACATACCTAATTAGAGGTCGGGACTGTTAAACCGCTGCAGGAACTGTGTTACTGTGAATTTGTGAGTGGGTAGTGTAATACAAATTAAATGGGGCTAGCCAGGATAAATTAAATGAATACATAGGTACCCTTGAATTACAGAGATTCTGGGAGTTATTTGAAAGTATCTCTGAATCTTTTTCTAAAAGTTCTCATGCACTCCATCTAGCTTTGCCCTACTATTTCTGTACCCCATCTCATTATTATAGTCGGTTTAATCCGTTAAGCGAAAGCTCATAAAAGAGCATTACGAGCGGTCCGCATCCCCGCCCTCTTTTTGTTGCTGGCCCTCGTTAGTTGTTGTTTAATTCCTTCTTTCTTTTTCCTTTCTTTTTGTTTTTGTTTGTCAGTTGGCTGGTTTCTGTTGTTGGGCTTTTGGCTTTTTTTCGCTGGGCTATTTTTAAATATTTGCTCAAAAGCAACAACAAAAAGTTATAAAAAGAGTGATAGAGAGTGAGAGAGCGAGAAGGAAAAAGAAACGACGTAGCGAAGCTGGCGCAGTGGCATTCTGCTGCTGTTGCTGCGTTGGGCCCCAAGAAAAATGTGGAATATGGAATTTCTCCCTCTCGCACACGCACACACACACACACACTCACACAGTGGCAATCCGATTCGCGACTTTTGTTGCCGTTTGTGCGTGCAAATTGGAGCAAAAGGAAGAAAAGAAAAACAGAAACGACAGCAGCAGAGCGCAGCAGCGACGCCAGCGACAAAGTAAAGTAAAAGTTTAACCAACGTCAGCGCTGACTTCTCTGCTACGGCTCTGCACTGGCTGCGTAGCTTTGGATCTGGTCCAAGGCACATTAAATGGATGGTAAGGCAGCTCAGACTTACAACGTTACAACGAGTAGGAAACTGCCTTACCTTCGATTTGACAGTCCCTGTGATTCTGGCTCTGCTCCAGCAACAACAAGATGCATAGAGCTGCTCGACCTCTGCTGCTGTCTCTGCCTCTGCACACTGTTGCCAACATCATCGATTTCCTGCTGGAAAAAGATGCACTGCTCACTGGACGGAAGCAGCGGGGGTCGGGTCGTGTCGTGTCGCTGCCCATGTCCATTTATGACAACTTAACTCATATGTTGTCCGTTTGCTGTTTTTTTTTGTGGGTGATGTCGTCACTTGACGATGACGCTGACGGCAACGGGGGAAAAAAAAACTCAAAAAGGAATAAAGATTCGAAGATGAAGATACCCTGCCAGGCCATGCTCAAACTTAAAGATGTTGTTTTGGACGATCTTTCCTTTAGTGATTCTTTATAGAACACAATATGTAAATATGCCTTGCATACCTATGATCAAATAATAATACCCTATTATGCTGTGAAAGTAAGAAAAAGCAAACAAGAATATTAATCCATTCCACACTCCAGAACCCCCCAATTAGGTCACATTGGCGTTGTGTAGCATCTTCGCCTTGCTTCCCTAGTTTGGTTCTCCTCTGTCTCCCTTTTTGCAAATTTTTCACTCGTTTTTTTTTCTGCTCCCTCTTTCCCCCTTTCTCTTTATCCCCCTATCCAACTTTGCACTTCATTGATAAAATGATTAATCGTTATGATTAATGTTACGGGGGTGTTCAGGGGGAGATACATCATACTCGTATGTGAATATGTATTTATGCATGTATATTTTATGTACAAATGTATGCCTGCCACCTTCATGTGTAGACGGTGAAGCGTAACAGCGGATGTTTATACGATTTATAAGCAGACATCACCGCACCACACTCTGTTTTGGGGGTCTACTGCTTGTGCATGGGAATGAATGAAGTATTTTGATAAAGAATTGGTGGGTTCAGCAGGGGTCAGTCGGGGGTGTGAATAATGTTTGTGGGGAAAAGAAACCAATGTTATTAGAACACAAAAACACGCCTTAAACCAACTTAGATTTTTACTCAAAGTACAACCTAAAATTAGTTAATTTAATAGTTAGTCAATTGTAAATTTAATCCTATTTAAATCGGTTATAGAAGAAAGACAATATACCCTGCCAAATGTTGAATATAAATTGGAACTATCTAACAAAAAGGACTTACGACTCTCAGTTAATTTCGGCTATGATTTGTATAGATTTACAGATGCTGCAAATGATTTATTCTTGATCACCCAGACAGAAATATTCCCATGCCCTGGCCGCCACCCTAGTCAAATGGGAGAAGCAAAAACAGAGGCTCACCCTAATCATAATTCCTGCCCAATACTTATGACAACAACGAAAAAAATGCAACCCTAGATAATTACACGAAATTGATTTGATTTGATT